TGTTTTTTTAGCAACTCGCCTTGCCTTGTCCAATTTACGGTTCAGTAATAACTACTTTGATTAGATAAATTTTCTATACAACTATGAAACCATAAGTATATACTGACTACAACTTAATGTCACATATCTCTATGATTACATATGTATAAAATGAAGTAACATTGTAAAAATGTACAAAAAATTCCTCCCCGCGTACTCTCTGATTTTTTTCCACGTTTTCATTAAATCGCTAGGCGGGTGTATGCCGCACGTGTAGCGCCTAGCGAGTTTCGGAACAAGGATAGTGAGACGTGTTGACACATACAATAAAAACTCTTCAATATTTATATAGTTATTAATTTACAGAGATTTTTTTTTTTGTAATATTTTAAAGTATGTGTTTAGTTAATAACAAGAAGTAAAATTGATTTTAAGGTACATTTTACAAATACAATTTTTTTGTTGTTTTTATTTGATGAATAGAAAATATGTATATTAAATATAGATGTATTTTAAAGATAAACTAACAAAACCACATAATATTTTATTCATATTAATAATATTATATATACATATATATATATATATATCAACTTATATTAGAACCATATATTATATATTATATTTTATGTTGGTCTAACTCTGGATTCAAAAAAAAATTATTATTTTATAGCGTACATAATAACAACAACAAAAAATTAGTTTATCGAGTATTAGTGAGTGTTAATTTCCTCAACGATATACATCCACATACATTGCCAGAACTACCAGAGAATCATCGACCAAATGAAGACTCAAAGACCACCAGATATCAAAAAGATCCAAAACCAAACAAGATAATGATAATTTTTTTTGTCAGAATACATAAATATCCCACTAACCGATGGATCAAGCAGAGTTTTGCTTCTTTCTCATATACATCAAAAACAAACCAAAAGACAGCAAACTAATATGATAATGAGGCTACATCACCAAATTAGACAGACTTAGGAAAATGTGGGGACAAGAGCTTTGCGATCTCTGTGAATCCAACTGTGTCTTTGTCACCGAAGATTGTCTTCAACTTATCGTCGCATATGATCTGCTTCCTATTCTCCGGATTCTGCAATTATAAATTAGATGCATTCTTAAGATACCATCATCTCTAAATAGAAACATCAAAATCCAAATCCAACTAAAATGATACTAAGTCTGTAAACATTTCAGACAGAACAAACCAAATTCAGCAAACAAAACAGTTACTACATAATATAGCTGCTTAGAATAAGACACTTGAACCCAAAATACATTGTTCTCTATCAAAACAGAACTCAAAAGACTAAGTCTCAAGATACTGACTAAAAGAATCAAATTATTTCCCCAACACAGATGCTTTCTAAACAGAGAAAAACACAGAGCTAATAACAGATGCCAACGGAAGAAGATATCAAGTCTGTAAAATTTTCAGACAAAACAAACGAAACATGATGTTTTCAGTTGCTTCACAACACATGAATTAAATCATTTACACACAAAAACTGCTCAAGTGAGTTGTTAACGGGCAAAGTTGTGTTCTCTAAACATTCTAGAGTCTCCGAGAAAGCAATCTTTCTACGAGCATAAACAATCGAAAAGTGAAAAAAAAAAAAACCAAGAAAACCCAGAAAACTGTACCTGGAGGTTGTTTCCCTTGATATGCTCCCACACTTTCTTCACGGCGGTGGCACGAGAGAGTTCGCTTTCTCCGGCGAAGCTAGCCAGCGTCTGTGAGACCGGAACTATCTTGAGAATCCCTTTTCCTTCTCTACCAGCTCCACCGCTCGCAGCCGCAGCCGCATTATTTGCCGCCTTTGCCATCAGTGTCCTGCATCCTCCGAAAACCCTAGAAACTGCCGCCATATCTTCTTCTTCTTCACACGCTTTGGAACCTTCTTTTTTTGCCGCGAAGAGAAACAACTAAAACCCTAGAACCGACAGAATGTTGAAAGAGAGGCGGTTTAATTTAACAAGGAAGGAGCTAACCATTATGGGCCGTTGTATAACTTCCATATATGGGCTTCATTGGGTTTCAATCAAAAAGGGATGTTATATGGCTAAAGTTCGAAAATGGCATCGTTTTTCACCGCTTTACCTCCTCTAGGTTGTCACATGGTGGATGCTAAGTAAAATGTAAGGGTTAATGTGCAATTTCTTAATTTCTTTTTGACCAAAGTTGACGACACGACATCGTTTCCTTGCTTTTCCTTCCTCTCCACTCTCCAGTCGTTACATGGCGGATGCTCCGCCGCAAAGAGTCTTCGTCTCCGCTGCATAACGGAAACGTTGCGGTGAGTGTTAGCCCTAATTAAATAAACCCCGATTAACAACGATGAGCTTGTGCGTTTAATAGGAACTGATAATCATTATTTATGAACATTGCTATTTTAATCTCCTTTACTAATCCATGTTGATATGATCGAACATTTTTCTTGGTGGACAGAGTTTATGTTCACTGGCTATGTTTTGTGCTGATGCATACTTTACCTTTAGCTCTCTTCTTTATCTATATATCACCACTACATTGCATGTTCATTTAAATGGTGAATGGGCATTGGGGCAAGGCATTTCACGCTCTTGGTTATATATCTCTGACTTATAGAGATGCCATTTTCTCATCCTCTCTGGTTAATTTATGGTATCTTGTTATGATAGATTAACTTGTTGTGGTCATGTGTATCTCAATTTAGTACGGTACAAAAACAGCAACTAGTGTTTCCCTAGTATTATAAAATAAAATATATAAAGAGAAAGAACATGAATATATCATATTTTTCTTGCTCTCGTATGCAAATCACTACGAAGAGGATGTGCTAGAATTGGTATTTGGTTTGGTTTGTTTGAGTAATAAAAAAATAATTTTTATAATTGATTAGTGACAAATAAATACTTACTAAAAGTTGGTATACTTGTTTTTCCATTTTTATTACTTGTGAACTACTTGTAAGTTACTTGATGATTATTCTTATAAATGATTTGAGAATTTTTTATTTATTTTGGCTACATAAACTTTGTACATGAATTTTTAGTTGAATCATAGTTAGTTAGAATTCAAGCTAAATAGTTATTTTATTTTAAACTCTAAAATATTTCGATTAATATACCATTTTTATTTAGTTCATTGTCGTCTAAACGAGTTATTCTACTATAATTTAAAAAATCTTTTTTTGTTCAAAATTAAAAGTGGATAAAAAATTAGGAGAAACAAACCAAAAAAAACAAATAATTATTTTTTGTTTTAATATTTGATACTTATCTTATATTTACAAGAATATAAGTAATTGAAACAATCTATCCAATACTTGACTTGCATTGCTAGTATTCGACTTGACATGCCAAATACGATCCAAGTAAGGAGTAGATGACGAGTATCAATTAATTGTGCTCACCTAGGTTTGAGAAAGCTACACGAGTTATTGAATGACAATGCGTTTCCCAACCAAGTTGGTTAAATATGTATGAATTTAAGGAGATGGTCTTTCTTCATACTTTTTTTTTCTATCTGGTTAATATATGCTATCTCGTTCAGGTAGATAGGCTTGCGGTTAATTTGTCTTTTAATTTAGTACACTAATAAGAACATCAAGTATATTACTCTCTCTAGTTTTTTTAACATATATAAAGGTAAAGAACATGATTAGATCATATGATCTCTTGCTTTCGTATGCAAATCACTACAAGGATGATGATGATATATTTAGGTATAGGAAAGCAGTAGGATTTAGTGAATGACGACGTTACACAAATGGTGAATGACAATGCTTTTCACGGAGTTGGTTAAATATTTATGACTTTAGGGAGATGACGTTTTTTTATATTCTTTAGTTAATATATATGTTATCTCGTTCAGGTAGTTAAGCTTGTTGTCATTTGCATCTTAAATTAGTACACTGAAACAGCAACTAGTGTTACTCTCTCTCTAGTTTTATGACATATTTAAAGTGAAAGAACATAATTAAATCATATGGTTACATGCTTTTCATATGTGAATCACTACAAAGATGATGTATTTAGGTCTAGAAAGCATCAGGGCTTAGTGAATGACGTTACTCAAATGGTGAATGACAATGCGTTTCACCAATTTGTCTCAATATTTAGGAGATGGAATTTTTCATACTCTCTGGTTAGTTTATGTTATCTCGTTTAGGTACATAGGCTTGTGGTCAACTGTATCTTAATTTAGTACACTAAAAGAACGAGCAACTAGTGTTACTCGCTCTAGTTTTATAACATATAACATGATTAGATCATATGATCTCTTGCTTTCGTATGCAAATCACTACAAGGATGATGATGTGTTTAGGTCTAAGAAAGCAGCAGGCAGGAGGTTAGCGAATGACGTTTCAGTTTTTTTACTTGGGTTTTTAAGATGGTTCTTCTTGGTGATGACAATGACACTCGACAAAGTAGAGAGTGAGATGGATTTCTCTTTGTGATGTCTTGTTGCATCAGCTTCCACTTGACTAAAGTGAATCACGTCTTAATGTGTAAGCATATCTTGTGGGCCTTGTCATCCAATGATTTGTTTTTATCTTTCCTTGATTTTTCTTTATTTATTTACTACTCTATGTTGTTCTGCCACACACTATAGCCTCCCACTTCTTCTTTTGGTGCAATTATTTTGTAGTTAACACGATGTGAAGTATAACAGCCATTTAAAGTTTCAATTATACTCAGATTTGCTTGAAAGCGAAAGCTCGTTATTCCTTTAGCTATGTTGACATGATTATGCAGTTAGAAAGTCTGCTTTTTCATTTTTTTTTCTATAATGGGTTATAATTGATCGCACTCTTATCTTTGTCCTTTCTTTTGTGTAAAAAGAAACAACAAACTACCGCTAGAGAACTTGAGATGACAATGAGAGCCACGGTCAGGTGTGTTTGCTTATGTCCTGTCGCTGTTCGTCTAATTATCAGCAACTTGTTTTAATTCTTATCTGATACATACATGTCATTGTTTTCACCAGTTGATGCACTTGCAGGTGACTAGTAAGGTATAAAGAGTAGACCGAATGTTTTAAGGAACCCCACAAAGATAAAACACTCTCATCTCCATAGGAGAGTGGACTTGAAAGTTTAGTCACTTTCGTTTCACTATTTTGCAAATGGGAATTAGTATATACTTTGGCTTCCCTTTCTTATCTCATACATTATCATCTCACTGTTTTATTCTCAAACTTAGGAGTATAATTATCATCATCTAAAGCCTAAAACAAAAGATAGTCGTCGGATATCTCGCGGATACTTAAGTAAAAATCAACCAAAATTCGACGACTTAATCTTTTCTAGTACTAATATTATTCCTTGGTTGCAATGGGGAGAAAATTTTCTATGGAGCATCTTGCGGTTACCTTTGGCTGCATATATATATATTTTTTTATCTCAACTTCACACGATGCAGTGCCATGTAGGCTATGAGGCGATAACCCACCAGCATAACTCCCATAACAAGCACGTCTACCCATAAATTGTTGAGTCCCATGGCTTTGATTCCTGGGAAGTCTCCAACTCTGCACCAGACCCCTTCTGAGCACTCGTAGTAGTCGTTATCAGTGTATTGAATACCCAAAAGCAGCTTGTAGCAGTAGTAGCTGTAGCTTAGATACTTGAGCCATACGATGAAAGGAGGGATTTGCTGCACGTAATACCCTCCAGCTATGAGAAACACAAGTGTAGTAACAGATGCTAACGTTGTCGCTTGCTTGATGTTCATAAGGAGAGCACCGAATGCTAAGCCAAGACCTTGAGCAACAAGGACGGAATAGAGAACAACCAGTAGTGAGAGGATAAAGGTTGCGGGGTCAGGTTTGAGCCCACCCATCCAGTAAATTATGAACACAAAAGCAGTTGGAAGGGCCAGCTCTAAGGGCAAGTCTCCAATGTTTCTAGCCATGAAATAGGAGGAAAGACGGTACATTCCGGAAGACCGCTCCTTGATTAGCATTCTCTTCTCTTGTGGAAATGTGAAAACCGCGTTGTATAGCGGGTAGAACCCCCAAAAAACTGAGAAGAAGAAGAGCAAAGCAGTCTGCGATGTTGAATGATTGTTAGAACACTAATAAATATATGTGATGGGAAGAAGAGTAGTAACAGTTCTTTTTGGAAGAAGAGCCTTACTCTATCTTGAAGGTGAGATTTTGGAGTATGCCACCATAGAAGGCCACCAAGGAAAGCCACGCTGATGACTTGGAAAATCCTGAGCTTGTTGAAAGATTCATATCTCCTCTCTCTGACCCCTCTTTGGAGCAATACAGTGAACTGGTACCACCAAGTTGTGCACCACTGTTCTGACTTGATATTTTTTGCTGCTCCATTTAAAGAACAGATACCGTCAGATTATTTGTGATGTAAAGGAGCAGAAGCAGAATAATACAAGAACTACTTTAAAAAAAAGCAAAAATTACCAGCAGCTTTGGTGTACTCATAACTATGGGAATCTGCATTGCAGAGTTCAGCTTTCAGTTTGGTGGATATGTTCTTATCATAAGCTGAAACAAGGGATTCTTTTACTGTCTTCTGTTCTTGTTCTGTCGTCTCCTTTTGAGAATCAGGTGGTATTCCTGCAGTTTACCAAATTTTGATTAGTTAAAAGAATTATTTTTTTCTCATTTTTCATCATCTAGAAGCTTAAAGTGTTTCAAAAAAAAAAAGTGTTTCAAAAGAAGGTTAAAGAGAAAGGTCATTTACCGTTTGCAAGGTCAAGTAAAAGGTCAGCTGGGTTAACTGTCATGGAAGTAGAGAATCCAACAGAGCTGAAATATTCCATAGCAGAAGATGCAGGGCCATAATAAATAGGACTACCTTCAGACAGCAAAACCACCTTGTCAAACATATGGTATATGCGGCTTGATGGCTGATGAATGGTGGTGACGACTGTTCTTCCCCCAGAAGCTAGCCGTTTTATTGTGGTCATTATGCGATGAGCAGTGGTTGAATCAAGACCTGAAGTTGGTTCATCAAGAAGAAGCAAGCTAGGATTGATCAGCATTTCTTGACCAATGCTGACCCTTTTCTTCTCCCCTCCTGAGATTCCTCTGAACAGTGGTCCTCCTATCATGCTGTTTGTACACCGAGTCAATCCCAGTTCAGAGATAACTCGGTCCACATGCTCAGCCTTCTCGTCTCTGGTCAAACTGCTTGGTAGCCGTAGAAGTGCTGTAAAGAAGAGAGTCTCCCAAACCGTGAGGTGTGGGTACAGAACGTCATCCTGAGCAACAAACCCTGTTCTCCGCTTGATGCAACCAGAGAAAGGCTGACCGTTGTACATGACTTTCCCCGAGAAAGTTTTGGAGAGGCGTCCCCCGAGAGCTGATAGAAGAGTGGTTTTGCCACTGCCTGATGGACCTAACATAGCTAGAATCTCTCCTGGACAAACCATACCCGTTATTCCGTTCAGAATTGTCTTCTCTTTGCAGCTCCATGATCCTAAACACTGGCTTGTCTGCTCTATCTTAACCTTGTACACAACCTCCTCAAACTGTACAACCACAAAGAAATCAATGGAAAAGCGCTGTAAGAACCAACTACCAAGCTAGAGGAAGAAAGAGAGAGACAGTAATATATGGTTTTCTTTCCCCCACTTTTATAGAAAGAGAGAGAGAGAGTGACACACACCTTGAGAGTTATGGGGTACATGGAAAGCTGGATACCAGATTGGGAAGACTTGCTCTGTGTTTCCGACATATCTGTCAAACCTTGTACCATGGCTTCACCATTTTCTTCAGGCCTTGGTGCTATGCAGTTCTGAGGCATGATGGATCCTGAACCAGTTTCCTTACTTGTCCTTGTAGTTGTGGCCGTTGTGATGCTCTTATGGAAAGTTCTTAATGGTGGTAACAGTAGCAAAGTAAACAACAAAGGTAAGAAATCTTAAAAAAAAAGTGAGTGTCTTTGGTAGCTTTCTTCTTGATCTCCCTCAAAGGGAACCCATGTGAGCACATGAATATATAGTAGTATTGGAAACACCCTTAGACACTTAGAATTAGTCATGTGTCTTGCAAGAAAGAGGAAGAGATAGATAAAAAACGATTTCTTTACGATGTTGGCCGATCAATCGTCTGTGGTGGGTTCCCACCTTCTCTCTCTCCGGTTAATTTATTCTAAAGCTAATTCCTTTACCAAATATTTATACCTATCTCTTCCTTTGTTCGATTTATGAGAATCTTACCTCTAATTCCATTGTTCTCTTAAGATAAATTAAATAAAGCATCCTTTGGAGTTTTGACTCATGTAGATTCTAGTATTGCTATTGTCACAATTTGCACAATTTTTTTCTCTATTGGAAATTCATCAACTGTTATTAGGTTCTCCAAAGCTCTTAACTGATGGACGTTCAATTGTTGGTTCAGTTGGTTTTTTTTAAAAAAATTTTGGATATAAAATATAAAAACTGTTCAGAGGTTTATAACATACGATTCATTTTTTTTTTCCAATTTGGCTCAGATCGAGTAAATTAAGAATCTGAAAAATTATTCAAGTCCAGTTCAGTTTTGTTTTACTCTAATTTGATTTCAGTTTTTCAGATATTTTTGGATAATTCGGATAAAAGTATCAGGCAATTCAAAAAATTTAGATAAAATATTGGATAATTAGGATTGTTCTGATAAAAAATTTTGGTCGCATATTTTGGTTTATGGTAAAATTTCGCAGGTGTATTCTTTAACCGTTTGATGTGATTGCAGATAATCAGAGTGACACAGTCTTCAAGCAAGTTCTGAAAAAAGGAGCTCAAAGCATAAGTACTAGATTCTTCAGTTATTTAACCATCTTTTTAACTTCTTTAACTTCTTTCTTTCACACGGATGATTTACATTTACATAAAACAAAAAGTGGAAACCAAAAGGAAAAGACTTTGCGGCTTTTGCATTATACATGACCAATTATTATGCTCTCCACCATTTCAGAACTCAAAATTAGCTATACCACAACCAATCCAAGTGGGAAGATCCTCTAAATCTTCAAAAGAGTAAAATATCTTATATAAGTTTTATATTAATATTTTGGCTATGTTATATTTTAGATGTATATTTCACATGCCATCTCATATCATTTGCTATATATCTGCATTATGAAGCTCTCATGTGCTGGTGTTATCTGCATGTGAAACACTTTGTTTCCTCAAGAAATCATTTCTTCCTAAAACAGCACATCATGCAGAATAGTTATTAAATGTGGCGATCTGGTCATAGATACACTTCCTTCATTTGTCTATTAGCCAAAAACTCAAGATTCCCTATTACAACGACAGTTTTATATGTTGGTGTATTTTGTTTTTTGATTCGTTATATCTTTGTAGGAGTTTTATCACATATGAAAATAGTTGTAGCAAGCCCGCGCAGCGAGACAAACCATTCACTACAAGATCAGATTCTTGTGATAGCCTGAGAATCTTATACTATCGGATTTCTTAAAACAGATCAGTCATATCCGGCAGAGTTGATCTGGTAGATGGTAAGCACATTTTGATAAGAGGAATTATTTAGTGTCAGGTGAAAAATATGGATGGAGACATAGAACGACCAGGCTTAGTCTCTAGTGAACTCTCCATCAACCAAATAAAAGACAAAGTATCTTCACACGTTGTTCTTGTTGTTATATCAACAAAATGGGTTACATTTTCAGAAAAAAGTTGACGCTATAAGCAGCGTTTCCAACGTCGCGTTACTATTTCTAAGAATATGTTTACAGAAAACTTTAAGACCTTTGGTGCATTTACTTTCTAGATCGGGAGCTAGTCTGACGTAACTCAGTTATATGGGATGGATTGTCTTTTCAATTTGTTTCTAACCCGGATCCAAGAAGATCTTGACTAAGAGCCCGCAACATCCAGTAATGTTTTTTTTTTTTAAATAATTTTTGTTCCTATTGTTTTTTATGTCAATGATGTTTAAGGAGTTTTGGAACGTTTTTTTTTTTTGTAACCCGAAATGAGAAGCGTTTGTATTCGAATGGTCTCAGACTCTCGGTAGGACTGGGCATTTTGGGAATCGAAGCAAATCACAAATATTAAAATTTTGGGAAGTGGATATCCAGTCTGATCCAAGAATATATAAATATATGTATATCTTGATTATATTTTAAATTTGAAATATAGAAAATTATATAATTACTATTCTAGCACATAACTTTGAACAATTCTATTCACATTATTACTTATATAAAAGTATTATATAAAAAATAACAAATTTACGACAATTATATTTTTTTCTTAATTTTTGTGTTATTATAATTGTAACTTAAACTTAAAAATTACAAAATACGTAAATTCACTAGTTCTTTTAATTTTTATTTTATATATCATGCAAAAAATATTTTTGGAAAGCAAATTTGTATCAAAATTTTAAGATTATTTTTATTAATCAAAATGGATGAGACATCCGCAAATATTAGTAAATATTCGCAAATATCTATTTATTTTTCGGGTATAAAAATTTTAAGATTATTTGTATTAATCAAAATGGATGAGACCTCCGCAAATATTAGTAAATATCCGCAAATATCTATTTATTTTTCGGTTATCCGTTTTTCCAGATATCCGTATTTTTCCGAAGCAAAGCAAATACCAAAATAAGATATTCGTAACATTCGAAACAAATCACAAATACCTTGAAAAAATCTGGATACTCAATCTGTGCGCACCCCTAACTCTCAGTACTCCTGCTTCTCACAGACAACTTCTACAGGTTGCATGTTCAACTTTCTATTAACGCGATGATATTATGCATTTCCAAAAAAAACCTAAAAGGTTTTCCAGGATTTAGGATAGCACATACAGTGGGAGCTAGTGAATATAAATAATAGGAAAATTGCATTCTCTATCACAAAAAATTAATAATTCAGCTAAAAAAAAGTTGACTGTGATATTCAATGTATTTTATATCTTATATTACCAAAACACCTTTTATATCTACCGGCTCAACTTCTTCAACCAAGTTTCTATTTTTTTTTTAGAATCTCAAAATTTTCTTAAATGATATTGTTGACAGATTTCTTTGCATCTGAGGTTGAATTAATTGGAAAGTGAAACGCAACTTTTTCTTAAATTCCATCGCCGATGGTATGTTCTCCTACATCACTGATGTTTTTTTTGCTTCATTATCACCATTATTACCAATAAAATTCTATGATTGATTATCATCATTGATGATTAATGTCATATGAATCCTCAGTTTTATAGGGTGGTGAAAAATAAAGATGGTGGGTCAGGAAGTGTGTATCACCATATCTACAAAAAGCAGAGAAGGTGAAGAAGATGAAGTCACCAACTATACTATGTACAGAAGGTCTATACTATTTTTTAAAGGGTCCATACTATTTATTATATATTGTACATGTAAAACAAAATATTATTTATTTCAGATTTTGATTTTATTTTAAATATAAGCTATAACTTATATTTGGGTTTATGATTTAGTGACTAGGGTTTAGAATTTAATAATCAGGAATTGAGGTTTAAACAAAGTTTTAATATTTAGGGTCGAGAGTGGAACTGGAGTACTATTCTATTTTGGCTATATGGTATAGAATACTATTTAATGAATGTAGAATAAAAATGTGACTTTGTAGTGAATAAATATCTATTATATCATTGATATGAATATTGGTTTATACGTTATTTACACCAATACAAGTAATTTAAAAATTCAATATATAATTTCGTGAACCACATCCACCTAAATGAATTTGGTTCACATCCAACATATTATGTATTATTTCAACTTTTAATTTTATTTAAAATATTATAACTATATAGGTTTTGGATTTAGTGATTAGAGGGTTTGGGTTTAGAGAATATGGGTTAGAGTTTAGTAATTATGTTTAGAGATTGGGTTTAATAGGAATTGTTTGCGTTAATCATATTTTTAAAACAAAATTCTATTCTATTTTGTTTTCATATAATATTTATTTGGAAGGTGAGGGTTGAGGTTTGGGTTTAGTGACCCTATCATATATCGTTCCTTTTGACGATTAATAAAGACTGTATTTTGATCACCAATATGTATAATATTATGTATTTTGTTTCAATGTATTTGGGTTTATGGTATATACTTGGGTTTAGGGTTAGTGATTAGAATTTAGGGTTTAGTATTTATTTGGAAGGTGGGGGTTGAGGTTTGGGTTTAGTGATCCTATCATGTCTTGTTACATTTGACGTTTAATAAAGAATATTCTATTTGTTCACCAATATGTACTATAATATATATTTTATTCCATTATATTTAGGTTTATGGTCTATATTTAGGTCTAGGGTTTAGTGATTAGGATTTAGTAGTAAGGGTTAGAGCACTACAAGAAAACAATTTTTTTACGAGGGAGATATTCCTTGTAAAGTTGTTGTAATAGAGGTGTTACGACGAATTTACAAGGAACAACGTTTCGTTGTTAAACGCACACCGTAATGAGCTATTCGTCGTAATTGCCTTGTTAATTTACGACGAAGACGTGTCGTCGTAAAAGAGAAGTAAGAGGTTCGTCGTAAACGACTTGTTAGACTTCGTCGTAAAGACCTTGTTACCCCTCGTCGTAAAGTCATTGTTACCTGTCGTGGTAAAGTCATCGTTACATGTCGTCGTATAGTAGTGGTTACACACATGTAAATGTTACGAGGAATTTACGTATCCTCGACGTAAATTCGATGTAACAGTTTACGACGAATTACCATGTCAGTCGATGTAAATTCCTTGTAATACTTTACATCGACTTTACTATGAACAAACATATAATATTTATTTATATGAAATATTATATTGATAAATATTCAAAATATAAATATATAAATTATAAAATGAAATATTTAATTTTTATAATTAATAAAAAAACCATAATATAAAAGTCATAAAATAATATTTAAATTTATATTACAAAAAAAAAACAAAAAAAAAACAACGAAACGTTATTTGGGTCGAAGTAGTCATGGCCGGTGTCATCTTCTGTCGTTGGATGTTGCGGCATCCCGAG